AGTATCGTCTTTACCGGAACTGGAAAAGGAAATTAAGTGTCAAATTTATTTTAGCATTTGAATTAAGCGATTATTGTGAATGTGCGGGACAGGTTTTGTAAATGAATTGCAGTGAAAGAAAAAAATTAACGGCTTCTAACGATTTAATGACAAAAAAAGAACACGGATTGGTTCCACGGCAACTAGATTTTACGACAAATCAGGATAATCACATGAAAATTATTAAAGTGAGCAACGTATCATTACCAATTTGTTATCCCTCTCGTGGCGTAGAGTACAACGATTTTGAGAGCAAGGATGATCTCTCATGCGACATGCTTCCAAATTGATGCCAAAACGAGCAAACGTACGACCCATTATCGTGCTAACGTCTTTGCGAGTAGTAAGGTATGTGACTGTGCGTTAAAGTGTCCTAGAATAATTTAGATCTCTCTTAAGTGATTCTATATATATGCAATTATAATCCTAGTGGCCTTTGCGGGTTAGAAAAGACAAGAATCAAAGTATTCAAACACAAATTTCATAAGAATCGTGCAATTAACCCATCAAGAATTAAACCCTAGACCATAGTAAGCCCCTTACCAATCCCAAACTCCTAAATAAAACTACTCAGGTCACAACTCATAATTCAATTAACAACATTATTGGAAAAGTAAAAATTATTTGTCATGAATCGAAAGAAAGAACTTACAAACAAATCTCATAATTTCGTAGATTCGAAGATTAAAACGATAAACTACTTGTCTCAGGGTTGTCTTTAAACTCCGTAACGTATAAACAAGGGTTTACAACATCATTTCATAGAAAAATCTCGAATTTGGGGTGTTTTTTGCCGCACGCGGATGTGCACGCGATCATCTGTCTAGTGTATGTTCAGATCTGTGATTGGTTTGAGTTGTTGACTGTCTCTTTGTGTATTTGGGGTAGTTGGTTGGGGCTGTTTTGTTCTTGCACCTTTAGTTTCCTGTGTCCAGTGAGTCTATTCTTTCTGAGTGTTGTTTTTTCGTTCCTCTGTGGTCTGTCTGTCTACGGATAACCAGAGTGGTTATTCCCTAATTAGTGAAGGCACGTGGTGTTATGGCTAGGGGATACCCTGCCATAGTTAGCTTTTTTGCGTTTAAAACGCGTTTTAAAAACGTACCATTTTTTGAACAAAAAACGTGTTTAAAACAAAAAATAATGTCGGTCCGTTTAAAAAGGAAAAAAACTTCCACTTCCCGTATAAAAGGTATATTTCCCGTATTTTACAAAACATAAAAACATCATTTGATCACTTGAATGAATACATCAAATGAATAGGACATCATTTCCCGTATTTCCCGTATTTTCATCACTTGAATGAAACATCATTTCAGAGTTATCACAGACAAATTTTTAGAAACTGAAATTGAGGCTAAACAACTTGAAATGAATGAAACTGCATGTTCCACTATTTATTTGAATCTTTCTGACTCTGTGATAAGGAATGTTGGTATACTTGACTCTGCAAAAGAACTATGGGAAATGCTTGATAGTCTGTATACTGATACCTCCTTACCAGGCAAACTATTTTTACTTGAAATTTTTTTCCGTTTCAGACTTGACCTCACTAAGGATATAGATGAAAATTTGGATATTGATGACTATACCCCAATTTTTTCCGTTACAGACTTGACCTCACTAAGGACTTATTCAAAACATCGAACAGGCTGGTGACAAGCACATTGATGACTATACCCCAATTATTTTGTGTAATGCCATCCCTGATTCTTATATTGATGTCAGATCTGCCATCAAGTATGGCAGAGATGAAGTCACTTTGGATATTGTGGTAAATGGTTTGAAAAGTAAAGAACTTGATTTGAAACAAAATAGGGGTCATGGCAATCAGTCTGGGGATTCTGGTGAGGCATTGTTTGTGAGGGGTAGGTCTAAGAATAGGTCTAAGAACTCCACGAAGGAAAATCAAGATAGGAATAGTCAGAAGCCTAGTAAGAAGAGAGGTAAGTCTAAGAAAAGGGTCTGTTACAATTGTGGTAAACCTGACCATTTCATAAAGGACTGTCCTAGTCCTAAGAAGTCTGACCAAACCAACTCTATTGTCTCTCATGATGTTCATGATGACGTGTTTATGGTTTATGACTTTGCTAACTTTGTGCTAAGGGGCTTAACTGAAAAATGAATGGCTTATTGACTCTGGTTGCACTTATCATAAGACTCCTTTTAATCCATGTTTTCTTCCTATGATCTCTGTGATGGTGGCTATGTGTCTTTAGCTGATAGTAAGAAATGAAAGGTGAATGGGGTGGGGAATAGATGATTAAAGTTTGATAATGGGACTGTGTACACTATGAAAAACGTGAGGAATGTTCCATATCTGTGTCATAATCTTTTTTCAGTTGCTGCTTTTGAGGATAGTGGGTTAGAGGGAAAATGGGGTAATGATTTCATGAAGGTTTTGAAAGATTCATTGGTTATGTTCAAAGCTTTGAAAGTGAATAACCTGTATGTGTGCCATGTTGTTCCATTCTCTGAATCTGCAAATGTTGTTTATCCTTATAGCTCTGTGTTGTGGCATAATAGGCTAGGTCACATGAGTAATAAGGGTCTATAAATCATGCATAAATCTGGTTACTTTGGTAAAGACTGTGTGACTTGTGTGCCTTTCTGTGAAGCATGTGTGCTTGGTAAGCAGTATAGGGTCAGTTTCCCTAGTTCCTCCTAACCAAACTTGTTGAAGTGTATCTCTGCCTTAGAATATGTTCATGCTGATGTTTGGGGTCCTGCCAGTATCCCTACCCATGGTGGTAAGAGATACTTCCTGTCTATTATAGATGATTTCTCTAGGAAAGTTTGGGTTTGTCTCTTAGAGCATAAGTCTGATGTGGTTAAGAAGTTTAGGGAGTGGAAACCTCTAGTTGAAACCCAATCTGATCTTAAGGTTAAAGCCCTTAGAAGTGATAATGGCCCAGAGTTCTTTAATAGAGAGATGAACCAAATGTGCCCTATACTTCCCAGCAAAATGGAGTGGCTGAGCGCATGAATAGAACCTTACTTGATAAAGTAAGAAGTCTCCTAGCTACCTCTGGTTTATCTAAGAAATTCTGGGGTGAAGCAGTTAACACTGCTGTCTAATTGATAAATAGGTCCCCTTATGTTCCTTTAGGAGGAAAATGTCCTGAGACTGTCTACTCCGGAAAGCCCCTAGACTTGTCCAACCTTAGAGTTTTTGGTTGTGCTGCCTATGTTCATCAGCAGCTTGATAAGTTAGATTATAGGTCTAAGAAGTGTGTCTTCTTGGGGTATCCTAAGGGGGTAAAAGGTTATAGGCTGTGGGATAAAAACCAGGTGGGTTTTAAGGTAGTGATCAGTAGGGATGTAATTTTCAATGAGTCTGAATTCCCCTGTTTGACTAGTCCTACCACAAAACAAAGTCCTGAGAGTGTTCAGTCTGAGGTGGAGTCTGCTCTTGCTGCTACCATTCCATTGTTTGACAATGTTAATGATTCTTATGCTGGCCTGCATGAAACCACCCCTTTTAGTGGGGTGGAGTCCTCTCATTCTGATTCACATGATAATGCTGAACAACATGATTCTATGGAGCATGATATACCTGATTTGCATAACTATCAACTTGTTAGATATAGATGTAGAAGAACTGTTAAGAAGGTTTCTGATTCTATGTCTGATTATGCTTTTCATGTGCATGATACCTCCCTATTTTCTTACTCTGTGTTTGAAACCCTTGAGTTAAATGAGCCCAAAACCTATAAGGAAGCCCTGACTTCTAAGGAGTCCCAGAAGTGGCTTGATGCCATGAACAGTGAAATGGAGTCTCTTGGAGTTAACACAACTTGGACCCTAGTTCCCAGACCTCCCAATTGTTTTGTTGTTGAATGCAAGTGGTTGTTTAAGGTCAAGGAAGAACCTGAGAGTGTGAGATTTAAGGCTAGGTTAGTGGCAAAAGGGTTTACTCAAAAAGAGGGGGTAGATTATGCTGAAATATTTGCTCCTGTGATTAAATTTACTACTGTTAGGATCATGTTTGCTCTTGTTGCTCACTTTAATTGGGAAATGAAACAGATGGATGTGACCACTGCTTTCCTGCATGGTGATCTTAATAAAAAGATCTATATTACCTAACTTGAAGGGTTTATGGATCCCAAGAAAAGTGATTATGTGTGTTTGCTAAGTAAGGCCTTATATGGTCTGAAGGAGTCTCCTAGGCAATGGAATATTAAGTTTGATCAATGCATGAAATCTATGAAATTTGATAAGTCTGCTTGTGATCATTGCTTATATTATAAGGATACCTCCTCTGTGCCAGTATTCTTATTACTTTATGTGAATGATATGTTAATTATCAGTCCTAACATTGATTCCATTGGTCATGTGCAAAATTGCCTCTATGAAAACTTTTTCATGAAAGACCTAGGGGATGTGAAGAGGATCCTAGGCATCAATATCATTAGGGATAGGAGCAAGTCTACTCTTTTGTTAAACCAAGTTTCTTATGTAGAGAAGGTTTTGAGTAAATTCAACATGCAATATGCATCCCCTGTGAATGTTCCTTAAGCATCACATTTTGTGCTAAGTAAGGATCAGTCCCCCAAGACTGACTCTGAAATTAATGAGATGAAATCTCTTCCTTATTCCAGTGCTATATGATCTGTTATGTATCTTATGGTTAGTACTAGGCCTGACATTGCTTATGTTGTTAGTTGCTTAAGTCGTTATATCACTACTAGAAAATTGCCTTACAGTGACACTTCGTTAGTGACACTATTCGATTTAGTGTCAAAAATTGACGACATAACTGAAAGTTTACACATAAGTATCACTAATTTATGACACAATAACATCACCATTTAATAGTGACACTCAAGGTGAAAAAATGGGGTCATATTCATAATTTATTAAAATATTTTTTTTGAAATGAGGTTTATTTTATAAATTTTAAGTTTTTAACCCTAACCATTCACATACTCTTCGGCTCTTCGCAGGAGCGCAACTCACTCGGCTCTTTGCAGTAGCGCGCATAAGGAAGAAGATTGATTGCGGCCAGAACAACTCCAGGCCTCCACCAAGAAGGACGGAGGCTCCCGATGACTTCGACGGTGACCGCTACTACTCTAGGTTAATAGAAGACCTGGTGCTCTAGAGCGAATGAAGATTGATTGCGGCTGGCAGATTGAGGCGGCCACAGTCTGCATAGAGAGATTCTCCCTGTGTACACTTCATCGCACGAACAAATTAATCTCCCTCGATGCAAGCTTTCCTCGTCCTCTCTATGCCAGAGAGATTCATCGGGGACAATGCTAGGTTTAGGGCACACCGGCCAACTCGAGAAGAGAAGGTATCAGGCAAACATCTCTACGTTTCTTCTATTTGTTGCTTGAGTGTACTTAATTTCTACCATTTCACTCTGACCTTGTTAATTTTTATTGTAGAAATTGAGGATTTGTAGTTTGGATTTGGGAACTTTTCATGTTCATATTCTTTATGGAATGCTTCGTATGTACTGTGCTGTCCAGATGCTCCAATCAAACCAATCTGCCTGACTCTGGTTTGATTCTGCCTGATTCTGGTCCCCATATGGCTTAATTTTACTTGTAGGGGTTTTATAACAAAAAAATCTTTTTGTTATAAGGAATGTGTTTGCTAAAATTTCACTTTAAAATTTGGAGATTGATTTGAATTAATACTTTGTAAGGAATGTGTTTGCTAAAATTCCTCAATGACATTTCTTACATAAGTCAGAATGTGAGAATTTTGTCAAGTAGGACCATAGCAAACCCTGAATTCTGATTTTCTTTTGTTGGTCTCAAATTGCTACTTATTTCATTTGTAACTATCTGATAGAGAACAGGGATCTGATGGTTGTGATTAACAACCTCCAGTTGACCTCCCCAACAGCTTGTTGGATTGTAACTGTCCAATCTCGGCTGGTTCCTGAAACTAAGACAAACACATGTTGTTTACCATTAAAACAAGCCGTGGATTCGAGTTTGGTTTTCCAAAACCTTTTTCCATTGCCCAGTGGTGGGAGAGCATGCGAAGTATAGCTTGTTTACTGTTGTATTGCCTCTTGGCAATTAGACCAGTTTCCTTTCTAATGCATGTGAGTAACTTAATTTATTAATGAATTCCATTTTCACTGTTTGCAGATGCATGACAAGGCAGTTAAAAGAATTAGAAACAAATACATGACCTCGGTCAAAACCGGCCCCAAATGAGTACTTATATAAGCACTTCGAGAGGTAGAACTTTCTTGCCCTATTTTATTCATTGAATTTATAAATCCATATGTTCATATGAGAAGGGGAAACTTCCCAGAGAACAGCAAGATATAAAATTAGTTTAAACAAACAGAATATCCATATGCTTTCTTTGTTTTTAAGGAATATTCATATGCTTTCTATTTGTTTATTTGTGAAGTTTGACATTAAAATCCTTTGTAGTTAGGTGTTGCCTATTTCTTTGACTTTAAGTTGACAAGAATCGATATCTTATATTTTATAGGTCACTACAACTACACCCAAACAAATTGAGAGTGATATATCTTAGTGAAAATTTTGATACCAAGATCAGAGTTGTTGCTTACATGTCCTGAGTACTCGAATCTGCATTTAATTTACTGCACTTGATGGAGCGGATGGGCTCAATAGACATGCTTTTCTCAGTGAACTGGTATTTTCATTTTTTACTTTAATATGTTTTTCTATTTTTTCATGCCTTTATATAAAGCATGCACTTTTGGCACTTATATTTATGTGAAATTCATTCTCACCTTGTTAACTCCATATCAGTCCTAAAACCTTGAAGTTTTTCTTTTGCTGCTCTGAGCGAGCTAACCTTTACGGGAAGTGTTCTTTTGTTGCTACCAAAGAATAGAGGATTAAAACAGGTTCTTCTACTGCCTTTTGATTTATTTTTTCGTAGTTCAGCTCATTCTTACATGTGTATTCAATCTAGGAACTCAACAACTGGGGACTGGCTCTGCAGGTATCTCCAAAGAGTCACCATTTATTTCTGTTCAATTTGTGTTCAATCTGTCAGAAGTGAATTCATACAGCTGTCTTTCATAGTTTTTGTACTTTTGTTTCCTTGGCTCCAAGCATGATATCTGTAATCTATATCTCATATCTGCAATCACCACCATTCAGTCAAGTTTTCAAAGGTGGGCAGTGTTGATTGTGAGCCATGGGGATCCCCTTCAAATTCTGCAGACATTTCTTGGGGCGGCGCTTCAAGGAGAGAATTCCGCTACGGATGACTGCAGTCAAAAATTGGCATCAATGATAGCAGCCGTAACAGTCTCATCTGTTCTCTCCCAGCATAGGAAGTTTTTTCTTGGCACTCGAGAATTGCGTGCACTTCCATAAGTTATTTACCCTTTCATTACAAAAATGTATTGTCTATTTAAATTTATACAACGTTGAAATTATCAGAACCCAATGTGCTCACTTACCATACAAAATGTAAAGGTTGGAGTTCTTGCATCTAGAAGTCTGATTTAGCTTTATGTACATCTCATGTTCTTAGTCACTTAAAAAAGGGGGAGCTTAGCTTTTTTAAAGGCTAACTGTTATCATCATTCAGCATTCATTCAGCTCCCTATTACCTACTTTACTATTTGAATACCTCCTTTAATTTGACTAATCTTGGTGTTGGATAATTACAATTATTTACCTTGGTGCTATGTACACAACATGTATACATGAACATGTACAACTGCTGCATCGATACAATTGTTATGTGCTCGCTCAGAAGCTACACAAGCTGTCACCTTTTGCTGTAAAGGCCATAAACTTAACAATTGCTTTTCCAAAGTGTTATTTGGTTATCTCTTACACACACTCTCTCCAGAATGTTATTTGGTTTTTCTCTCACACTCTCTATCTCTCTCATGCATTGTACTTTTTTTTACTAAATTCTCTATTATCGAAGGTGATAAGTGATCTTTTTAATACTTCTCCAATCATGCATTTTGTTATTGTTATCACAGGTGACAAGTTGATTTCAATGGGGAAAAGGGAGCACGTGTTGTTGATTACTTCCATAAGAGTACTATTGTCGGGGCTTGGCACTTAACGATTGTTTTATGTCCTATAGACCGTGCTTTATCTCAATTCTAGCTATAATTGTAACTTGTGTTTTGTTTTTTGAGTTGTACTTAATTACATTTATGATTTCCGGGGTATGCCCCTATGAATCATGTACATTCATATGAAATCTTGAAATATAAATAAAATGTTTGAGATTTTGGTTAATGTTAATGTTTTGGTTTATTTGTATCAATATATATACTAATATAAAATATATATACTAATGAATTATGTACATTGACACTTTTTTAGTGTCACAGAAACTTTTAGTGACACAAATTTGGTGTCACTGTAAAGCCTTTTCTAGTAGTGTATGTATATATCACTAAAAATATGATACATTGGTATCACAAAAATCCTTGTTACGTAGATATCACAATTCTCTATGATGTTTATATGTCATAATTTTGTGACACAAAAGTGACTTGTTAACGGTGACACTAAATTTTGTGTCACTTGCCCTGCTTTTCTGTGACACTTTCTGAGTGTCATTAAATCGTTTAGTGACACGAATTTAATGTCACTATAAGCCTTTTTTTATATATCCAATCCTGGTATGCCTCACTGGAATGCTCTGAAATGGCTTTTAAGATACCTTAAATCAACTGTGAAACATGGTTTGTCTTTTGCTAAGTGTTCTGATGGTACTCTGTTACGTGGATATGTGGATTCTAACTATGCTAATGACAGGGATAATAGGAAGTCTACCACTTCTTATGTTTTTACTTTGTATGGGTCCTATAATAGTTGGAAGTCCCAATTGCAACCCATAGTTGCCTTGTTCACCACTGAGTCTGAATATGTTGCTGCCACCGAAGCCTTTAAGGAAGCTATTTGGCTCAAAAGGCTTGTCAGTGATATAGGTTTTCTTAAACAAAGAATTACGGTTTATTCAAACAGTCAGTCTGCCATACAGCTTTGCAAGAACCCTGTGTTCCATGACAGGACCAAGCACATTGATGTCAGGTTCCATTTCATTTGAGAAATTGTGGAGGCAGGAGAAATCATGCTGGAGAAGATCCCATCAGAGTTCAACCCTGCTGATATGAGGACAAAGTGCCTTTCTGTTGAGAAGTTTCTTTCTTCTAAACAAACATTGAATCTGGACTGTGGTTCGATATTGTTTGTTTTGCAGGTTTTGGTCCATGGAGTGTTGTTTGCACTCCTCGACTTTGCTCTGAGAACATGGTGTTCTCTGGGCATCCGGTTTGTCCCTTTGATCCTTCTGGATCAGGAAAGTGGGCATCACACTTTTTAATTTTGTGTTTCTGGGTCCTGTGTGACCCAGGGAGTGTCTTTTGGACACCTCCAATTGTTGGCCTAAGATATCCTTGGATGTCTTGGGCAACTAGAGATGATGAGTCTTTCCCATGCCACATTTTTGCTCTACACCACATAGGACCAATAAGGTGGAGAATGTAAGAGGTATTGGCCCTATGGGCCTTGGCCTTCTTCTCCAATTAATTTCCGAGACTTGGACCTTAAATCATTTGGTTACCACCCGACCCACTGCTTCCTTGCTTGACCCATTCCCTTGTGTTGTTCGACCCTTATACCCGTTGTGACCTACTTACCTTGTTGGGCTTTCCTTGACCCGCCTATTTATTCTCTTGATCTGCCTTTGTCATTTGAGTGAGCCGCATATGTGTAACCCTAGTTCTAGAGCCTTCTGTTTAGAGAGAGAGGGTCTGGCTTCTCTCTAGCCTTTCTCCTTCTTCCGCTCCTCTCTTCAGCTCCTTCGTGTGTGTGTGTGTGTGCTCTGTAGATTCTAGAGAGAGATTTGAGAGGGTAGCTGAGTTTTGGGTTTGGGTTCTGGTGCCTTTGGTGGTGGTTCCCGGTCCGGTAGGTCCTTCATGGTGGTTGTGAGTTGTTCCAGAACCTTCGGGTTCGTGTGGCTGGAGACCTGAGCTGGAAGATCTATCAGCCTTACTAATATGACTAATAGTGTCATATTAAACATGTCTTATTATATGACACAAATATGACTAATAGTTTCATTTTTTATTATACGAACTCATGTCTTATTATATGACAAATATTTACACTACACTCTAGTTCATGGTAACTTAAGTTTAAAACTTGAACATAAGTTACTATGATATCATTACTACTCTAGTCATTGATCACATTTTTGTAAACAATCTTCATTTTAGTCATATTATGTTTATAAATGAAGTGCATTTTGTAGACCAATATTCTTATTCTGACTATTTTGTTAATCAATATATTATATATTGATATTAATTATTAGTAATTCATCATTATTATCATCTTTACTTCTTGTATTATTTTTTACTTGCGTTAGAAAAAAGGTTCTTTTTTTGCGTATGGCCTCCATATTCTCATGATCGACCTGGTTGGTAAAAACACAAGCTATTTGAGAAGTAGAGCTCAAATTAGGTAGTCAAATTAAATGTCTCGCTCAAAATGACTTATTGTAAAGGAATTTCTTCAAGGTAGGAAATCATGATCACACAAGCTAGGGTTACTAGTGTCAACGAATAATAGTAATGATGTATGCAAATTCAGCCTAGAACTTGAAATACATCCTAATTAATCTTGAAAATAGCCCTATTCAACTCACAAAAATGGTGTTTAAAAAATACACACAAAAGTGAACATGTTATTTCGAAAGATATTGACTGGTCTCTTAAGCATGCTAAGACTATTAGTATCACAAAATGATCAACTACCCAAAGGTTTATTCACCCCCACACTTAAGATTTGTCGGTGTTAAGATATGAGGTTTCTTCTTAAAAGATCAACCTCATAGGAGAATAATTCAGATCTTAATATAACACTTTATTATTTTACAATTTTCTGGTGTGGAACTTCAGCGGTCGTTGACCTCGACATCCTAAATTAATGTGTTCATTTATTTAAAAGCGGTTATACTAATAATGTGTTGTTAATTATGTCACATCATATTTATCACATGTTTTGTTGATTTAAAATCATGAGGGAAATGCTAATTCTTGAAAATCCTTTTTTACGAAATAGGCATAGTTTCATATGGTGATAGAGAGAATAGAAGTCTAACACACCATTCGATTGTGGTAAGGTTTAATAACGAGCATACAGACTCAAATATTGTTATGCTTCAATGAGTTTCCTACTATGGACATGTTTTGTTGCCCTACTTAAAATACTCAAACTTTAACGTGGGTTTTAAAATTGTTTGATTGTTTTTTTGTTTTTTGTAAATTAGTAGGCATGCACACCATACTTTAGGATATTGTTTCTATGAGAGTATGAGACACATCAGATATGCATCCGATTTGTGAGTGCTATATGAGGTAAGTTCTACTACATCATTGAGGTGAGTTATTAGACATAATTGCAACCTTATTGATCTTCCTTATTCAGGCTGCAAATACACATGGACGGGTGTTAGAGCTAATGGAAGGGTTTGGAGAAGATTAGACAGAATTTTGGTTAATCATACTTGTTTAACTCATTTTGATAATATTCAGGTCTCTCATCTAACCAGTTCTCCTTCTGACCATTCACCCATTCTCATTCAATGCTCTTTAAACATCAATACTGGACCTAAATCATTTAGGTTTCAAAATATGTGGATTTCTCACAAATCTTTTATGGAGGTGGTTAAAAGGAGCTGGACTGCTCAAAACTTTGGAGGGGGTATGAGGGGGCTAGTTAAAAAACTGCAAATGCTAAAGAAAGATCTGAAAGCCTGGAACTTGCAAAGTTTTGGTAACATTTTCCAGGATATAAAATCCTGTGAAGCTGCAGCTTTAGAAGATGAAAAAACCTATGAAGACAGTCCCACAACAGAAAACAGAGAGAGATGGTCACAATCTAGAGCCTTACTTTTGGCTAAATACAAGCTGGAGAAGAAATTTTGGAAACAGAAGGCAAACATTAAGTGGCTGAAAGAAGGTGATGCTAATACTTCTTTTTTCACTCTTATGTTAATGTCAGGAATAAAATGCAGGCAATTACAACAATTCAGAACTCTCATGGGGAGTTGGTGACATCATTACCTGACATCTCCTCTACAACAATTGACTTCTTCAAATCACTGTATTCTGAGGAACCTGTGGTGTCAACAGATCAAATTCTGAGATTTATACCCCAGATTATTACTGAAGAAGATAATTACATGCTCACTAAGCTACCAGATGATGATGAAGTGAAGAATGCAGTCTGGGACCTTAATCCTAAAGGTGCCCCTGGCCCTGATGGCTTCAATGGGAAATTCTTTACAAAATGCTGGCATATTGTGGGGTGTGATGTTGTTAGGGCAGTTCAAGAATTTTTTATGGGAATACATATTCCCCAAGGGTTTTCAAGTTCATGGATTGTGCTTATTCCCAAAAAAGAAATGCCTTGCTCTTTTGCTGAATTCGGGCCAATTTGTCTTTCTAATTTTGTAAGTAAAGTATGTACTAAAGTCCTAACTTTTAGGCTTAGTAATATTTTACCTAAAATCATTTCAAAGGAACATGCAGGTTTTATGAAGGGTAGAGACATTGCGGACCAAGTTCTGATTGCTCATGAAATGATACACTCAATTGACAAAAAGACTAGGGGTGCTAATGTGGTGGTTAAGTTGGATATGGCTAAAGCTTTTGATAGAGTTTCTTGGACTTATCTGGCTGAAATTCTTAATAAATTTGGCTTTTCAGAATTGTTTATTCAGCTGGTCATGAATAATCTAAAAGCCACTCACTTATCTATTCTGATAAATGGGGTTCCTCAAGGTTTTTTCAAACCTATGAGAGGAGTTAAACAGGGAGATCCCCTCTCTCCTTTCTTTTTTATCATTGCTGCAGAAGGATTTTCAAGGGGGTTGAACTGGCATATGGAGCATAATCTTATCAAACCATACTGGGTTGGGGCTCAAGGTTATCCTATTTCACATTTGGGATTTGCAGATGATTTGTTGGTTTTTTTAAATGGTGAACTCAGATCCTTAAATAATTTCAGGCAATTTTTGGAGACTTACCAGGCTACATCTGGTCAGAATATCAATCTTGATAAGTGCTATGTTGTAGTGGGTAAGCCAGCTGAAAGAAGAAGCAACATCATTAAAGAGGCCCTAGAGATGAAATTGACTGCATTGCCATTGAAATATCTAGGTGCTAATCTGCACAAAGGTGTTAACCGTTATCAGTACTGCTCTCAATTAATCAAACAATTTGAG